GACCGCGATCGCAATTGCAATCGGCGGCGGCAATTGGGGAAAAAAAAAAAGCGCTGCGATTGGCGGCGGCAGTTCAGCAGCAGGTCCTTCGCTCCTAGAGGGAGTGAGGTACCTGCCGCCCCCAATTGCCGCAGGTGCCGCCCCTCTCCCTTGGCCGCCCCAAGCACCTGCTTGTTAAGCTGGGGCCAGCCCTGAATATATAAACCAACACCTTCTGCAGAAGATGGGTAATGGAATTAGTCATTTTAAATCTCCAATATCAATCCCCCCAATAAAAAGAGTGTCCAATACAGTATCAGTGGAGGCTGTACTTCCCCACTCAGAAAAGTGAGAAAATATAGAGACAGAGGAAAAAATAAAAAGATCACCCCAATTCCAAGAGCCACTGGCATCTGTGACTTTAACCAAAGATAGATGAAGTATCTATCTGTCCCAGCACCCCAAACTGTATAGCACACATTCCTTTAGGGGATTCCATAGCAGCAGAAAGACCTTATTCAATGGTCTGTTAGCCACAACACAGCAAGTGAGGGGTACTTTAAAAAATGTGCTTGTGTAATAAGAACATGTAGAGCTAAGTCAAAATGTTCTGCTTACAATGACCCACAAAATTCTGACCCGGAGCCCCTACTGTATATTAACTATTTATACTTTTACCCATGAAGGTATCACATGTCCCATACATTTTCCTACTAGTACAGAGTTAGCCAGATGAGTGTGTTACTCACCAATTAATTTACGCTGACTAGTGCTCATCTGAGAACAAAATAGTAAAACATCACATTTGTTCTAATATTTGTAGGGAGTCCTTGAGAGCTGCTGCTATGGTTACCTAACAAATAAACTAACCTACAGTACAAACTGCTCACATTATTTATATATTTTGGAAAACTTTTGGAGAATATACACAGCTCTCTGGTACTCAGACAGTGGGGTAGTACATCTGTTTCATTCAGACGGTTGGCTGCATTCTTTGCCTGATATTAATACCAGTGACAATTTAGTAACAGAACCACTGGCATGAGAAGTCTGACTTCCAGAAGAACAGATGGTGATGACCGTCTCAGGTTAATTTTAGGCTTCAGTAATTGTTCACTTAGTCAGCGTTGCTATAATATATGAGTGAAATAGAGAAGAGGAGAGGAGAGGGAAAAGAAAAAGACATTTGCAAATCCCTTACCTGTTTCCCATCCAGGGTATACAGTTTTTTGACCACACCCGTCTCCAGTTTTATAGCTTCAGTGATATCAGTGAGAACTTGCTCAAACGAATGTGCAGTCTTCTTGTTCAGGAGCACGCGAACAGCCTTTCGGGGCTTCACCCCACTGCGGATGATGGTCACCAGCTTGGGACGCACAAAATCCTTGTTCTCCCTTGCCTGGGCACTGTTGCTGCTGGCCAGAGACTGAGGTGCTTTCAGATTGGCCGATGTCTTCACATTGACGGACCAGTTGGGATTAACATTCTTGGTATACTCCACCTTCTTGAAGAAGTTGTCAGATGAACAGACATAGCTTTCCCCTTTTGAAAATAATAAATACAGAGGCAATTATATAGGGAACCAACATGTTGTTATTAGCACTGGCTGGAAAATGGGGAGAACATTGCACAATTCAAGTTTATGAAATTTTGGTTCCATTTTTCATTGAAATGTCATTTTCATAAAAATTGTTCAGCCAGTTCTGATTATTACCTACATTTCTTAGGTGCTTGTTACTATAGTATCAAGGTAAAAGCAAGTAGTGTTTCCCCAAAACACAAACACTGGTCAATAAACTACCCCTTAAAATAAACAGAAACAAATGGATTACAACCCAGTGACCAAGGGCCAAATTCACAAAGGTATTTAGGCACTTAAAAATGCTGATAGACACTTATGAATCCCCTAGGTGTCTAAGGAATTTGGGCACCTGTCTGCCATTGAAAACCTTGAGAAGTCACTTCTGTGAATCCCATTAGGTGCCTATCTGCATCTGTAGGCACATAAATACCTGTGTGAATCTGGCCCCGATTGCCAAGAGATACCAACATTGATCAAAAAGGTGCATCTTGCATCATGTCTGAAAAATGGTGACAATCTGGTTCTGAAGAATAATCTCTAGTGGAAGCAAATTCAAGGATCATTATGCTGATGAAACTAGCAGGCATTGCACATGGGCTTTATTGTACTTTCATTGATTCAAAAGAAGAAATAAGACCTGGACGTAATGGTTTTTAAATGCTACACCTAATGCCATAGCTCCCATTTTCTGTACCACACAAATCCAAGCTCATGCTTAGCCGCCATAGGTGAAATGTTGGAAGGTCACAGTTGAGTTTAATCCACTTAATGTTGAACAAAACAAATCAGCATTTCAAAATTTGGTTCAAACTTTTCATTTGCAATCAAATATATGGAATCCTACCTATCCAGGGTTTTACGTCATGCTCATCTCCAGGGTATCTGAGCACTGGGGGATTTGTAACATTTTATTTTGGTGGAAATCTGCAGGATCCTAGGGATTTGTGGGATTTATTACTGGGGCACAGACTGTAAAACAGTCTCCACGTGGGAGTGGCAGAAGCTCAGTTGCCTGAGTCGTATCAGATGAGGCTGTAGAAATCACTTAAGAATCCATTGCAGGAAACAATTCTGCAATGGGTAAGTAAGGGATAAGATAATGTAACAAGCCTTTTTCTGTTTAATATGAATTTCATAGAAATTCAATGCATTGTCCACAAGTCCAGAGGATCTTATGGACCTGTGGGGTTTTGTTAGGATAACCTTGCAGGATTTGGGTGAAATTTTGCTATGTTTCTATTTCAAACCTATCAGAACATTCTGACTTTAATTTAGTTCAGATTAGATAGACTATCCTTTAAGGAACTGTTCTCCCTGACAGTGGACTGGTTGGGTTTTCTTGCATACTATCTATGAAGAGCTACAGCGACAGGACGTACACAAACAATTCATCGTGATACCTTTCCTCTGTGAAAAGACACTGGGCCTGATTCTCCATTGCTTGAAACCTTGTGTCAACGTTTACACCTGTGCAAAGTGGTACCAAATCAAAATTCTCCATTCACTTTCACCAGGGGTGGCGTTTTACACCTCACCTGTGCAAATTGAATGCAGCAGCCATGATTACACAAGGTGGAAGACAGCAAAGAATCAGGCCCATAGTGTCCTTATATTTGTCCTTCTCTGCCTACATTACATTCCTGACACAGGCACAGAGACGCTTCCTTCATATAACATATGGCAAGAACACTAATAGCTTTATAATACATGGAAGCCTCTAATAGGCTTAGAACGAATGTGTGTTTAGTGTTTACATTCTTATTACTGCTCAGTGTGTGATGGCACGATAAGAAAGTGATAGAAAAGATACATAATATAAATCTTACTCTGTTCCTTTTCGATGTAAAGGGCTTAAAATTCTTTTAGATACTTAGCTCCATGGGAGCAGGGACCTTGTATTCAAATTGCCTGTAAAGCACGGTGCACATTCATAATGCAGTATTTAATACAAAATAACAATAAAGTTATGCAAAGGGTCAAGCTAGGAGGAAGGAGAAGACCAGAATTGTATGTGAACAAGAGATGGGAAGTACACCTCTACCCCGATATAACGCATGAATTTCGGATATCACGCGGTAAAGCAGTGCTCCGGGGGGGCAGGGCTGCGCACTCCGGCGGATCAAAGCAAGTTCGATATAACATGGTTTCACCTATAACGTGGTAAGATTTTTTGGCTCCCGAGGGCAGCGTTATATCAGGGTAGAGGTGTAATGACAAAACACCCCAGCATAGAGTGAGACACAGGGGAAGAAAGACACAAGACTTAGGATGATTATTTGATTTTTTTAAACTATGCATTTGATCAAGTAATGTACCCCAGGGATTTACATTACGGCTGCAATCCCATTACGGTGTTCTGAAGGCAAACACAAACCACCAATGCATTTATGCTGTCACCAGGATCCCTCAATCACAGACATTTCATTTATAGTTGAGGCTTCATAATCCCTTATATTTCTTCCATTGGACCTAGCAGAAGTATAAAGACATTACACAATGCTTTGCTATTATGAAGAATTCCCACTGGAGATATTGATCATCTTTCAGCAGCACCTAATCCTAGGTCTTTCTGATTAATAAATGATAAGCTGCACTTTATCTATCTGTTTCAGCTCGGCAGCAGCTGGTGTTCAGGGGGGTCCTGCCTTTATCTAGCTGCATAGCTGGTTCTGTGGCTGAATCTCTGCAAGTGCCGTCTGACTTACACAGTGAGAGACAACCCCCCTTAGAACCCTGAGCCTTCCACTAGTCAAACACCAGACATATAGCAGGGATGGGCAACAGGCAGCTCAGGGACTGCATCTAGACTGCTAGATCATTGTATTTGGCCTGCCATAACCCGGCTCAGGGCAGGCAATACAGCAGCACCGCAGCCAGGAAAGGGGCAGGGCATCACCAGCCTGAACATGGGCATCACGAGATACTGGGATGACAGCCAGTGGGCTAGAGCAGGGAGCTGGACCCAGCCCCGTACATGAGTCACCACTACAGGGTAAGTGGGGGACAGGCTCTCCAACCCCCTCCCCCGTGTGCGAGTTACATCATCCTACAGACCTGACTCCCCCCATGCAATCGCCCCTTGCATCACCCCCTCCCAGGTACAGTACCCGATTCTCCCCCTGCATCACCTCCCCAGGGCCAGGACCCAACTTCTTCCACCTCCAGTCACACCCCCTGGCAACAGGACTTGACCCCTCCCACTCCCCGCATGCATCACATTCCCTGGCTTGCCAAAGGGTTTAGTGGTCTTGAGGTTCCTCTACTATCTTAACGTGGCCCATCCCTGAAATATAATATTTACATTGTAGAGCAAGGAAGGATGGTATTGTATTTAATCACAGGCCTGAAAATCAGAAAATCTGGGTTCTATTCCTATTTCTGCCATAGGGCTCTTGTGTGATCTTCTTAAGACCACTTAACTGATCTTATGCCTCAGTTTCCATATCTGAGAACAGGGATAGTAATATCTACCACCTTAGGCTTAAATTGTTAATGTTTACATAATGCTTTTGGGGAGCTTGAATAAAAGAGGACACAGAAAAGCAAAATATATGTTTGCACTGTGTTTCATAAATACCCAAACCTTAAAGAGAACATTTTTTCATGGATAAGTTCCACATTTAAAAAAAAAAAAATCAGCGCTTACTGTTCTGTTTGCTGGAATGTAACTGTTACATTTGCTCCAGGAGAAATATTTGAAATGTCTCACTATGCTATGTAGTTGTCTAGTATATTTATAACACTCTGGAGGAGTGAAGGTAATATTCCTTTACTAGACCTTAATGCGGGGATGTTGCGGGGCTAAATAGTCTAGTAGTTTCAGACACTGGCCTTTCAAATTATGCTGATGGTCACATTTGGAAAACACAATAAGTTTTGTATTTTCAATCTAGCCCCTAGTGAATATTTTAGTTCGCATCACAAAGCCAGCCAGCAATTTTCTTTGATTGGCAGCTTGCTCTCAGGAGAAACCAACATTCAGAATAGAAGCAGAAGTGTTGCAGAGAATGACTGAGGTGCAGTATTCAGAGTAGCAGAAGTGGGATGTAGTCCACGAAAGCTTATGCTCTAATAAATCTGTTAGTCTCTAAGGTGCCACAAGTACTCCTGTTCTTTTTGAGGTGCAGTAGTAGGTCTGTATGAAAAAATCATCCCCTCTCTTTCCGGAGCCACAAATTTAACGGCAATGTGGAATGGGGGCTCTTTGTTTGTTATTTTAAATCTTGGATTCATTTTATGTATGTCCCAACCTCTCATATTTTATGGCCTCTGAGTTGCCAATTATTATTATTAAGTTCCTCACAGGGGTAATTCCTTTTTAAACTCTTCTTTCTCTTTTGTCATGTGCCACTTGGAGGCATTTTTGCAGCAATCTATCAAATCTGCTAAAATAGAGTTCTATTACTGTGGATTCGTTATTTGGTAGAGAACAAACAAACAATGACAAATGACTTGCGTGACAGGGCAGTAGAAGGAATGGGCAGGCATCTCAGGGAACATAAGAACGCTCCAAGCACGAAGAGGTGATACCTCCAGAACCAAAGGGTTGTCCAGGAGTGACCAAATGAGGTCTTCTTTCATGGGCAATGGATATTTCTCCACCCACACATTTGTTAAGTAGCTAATGAGAGGTCAAGGTATAGGACACTGGTTCTCAAACTGTGGGTCGGGACCCCAAAGTGGGTCACAACCCCATTTTAATGGGGTTCCCAGGGCAGGCTCAGACTTACTGCGATCCAGGGCCAAAGCTGAAGCCTGAGCCCCACCGCCCAGGGCCGAAGCCTGCGGGTTTCAGCCCTAGGTGGAGGGGCTCTGGTTACAGGCACTCTGCCTGGGGCTGAAGCTCTTGGGCTTCAGTTTTGCCCCCCCACCCCGTACAGGGCAGTGGGGCTTTGCCCCCCCCCCACCTACCCCCACACACAGGGCCACGGGGCTCTGGTGGGCTCAGGCTGCACGATCC